TCTAAGGCACCAAGTTCCACCCTAGAAAGAATAATAGGTCACCACGGTAACTGTAGGTAGCCCGTTAGGGTTGAGCAGTGAAGATAGTGTCATCAGAACCTCCACTTCCCTCTCTCCTCCGATACCATACCGTCGAGACAGAGCTCCGGTACGGTGATCGTTGAGCTTTGCAGATCCGGATAGGGAAGCGTGACAGGTGCCCAGACCTAGTGGTGATAGCTAAGGGGTTTTCTGAACATGACTCCTGAGCCGTAGAAACTCGTCCCTGAGCGGGGGACGTGGAGCCACTTAGGGTAACTCAGTAGCTGACCGGCACATAGGGGGTCGCACCCCGCTTTGTGGATGTATGGTCCCGTGTGAGGGTCGTCAGTTAACCTCCACGGATGATGTTCAGAGAGAGAGTCACGTATTCGGATCCAGCCATACGATCCCCTCAGATTTGCTTATGAGGTCGCGCCTCACCTCAGGACGCTGATCATTTCACTGCATAAGATGGGCAAGCCTCTTATGATGCATAAAAGAGTTGTAGCTTAGATCACCCTGCATAGAAACCCGAGAAAGACGGTGGTTACCTACCAAGATAAGGATGCGAAAAGAGCCTACAAGTAGGCTACTTACTGAGTATTCTTTTATACTCATTCCTTTCTACTCTTTTTTTTTCAGGCGAGTGAGGCCAGGGATCGAGGCGGGAATGCATGCTGAATCTTAATGCCACAGAGGAGTGTCCCGGGGCGTCTAGGAGTCTGTGCATAATTTTGTTTAGATTTGTCATGCATTGTTTTGTAAACCGCTTACTTACTATTCATATTTGAACACCTTGTTTTGGATTTTAAACCTCCTTCATAATTGTTAAAGTTTCTTTTTGTGAAATCTCGTTTCTCTATTGGTTCTTACACGATTTCATTGCATAGTCTGTTGGTCCGGCTCTTAATTACGAGATTCAAATTTTGGGCTGTGACACGAACAATTCACACCCTTCTTATAAGAAATGCTTCATTCCCAACTCCAACCGCTATTGGATCTGTCATGACCGAATTTTAAGTATTTATGGTTATTTTAGAGGTTTCGACAAATTGAGCTGCGATGAAAAAATAAATTTTGCTTGGTTTAGAAGACATACAACACCTATGTGAGAAATTCAAAGTTATTTACAAAAGGAAAAAAAAAAGACATGGATACAAAATAATTAAAAATGAACAACAAAAATTATACAACCAATTGATGTCTCAAGTCCAATACAACTAACATACACTCCGGGTCGACACCCCTATGTGATAGTAGAACTCCCAAGCATATCCCCACCTTAAACAGTACTTGAACTAGAAAAGGAGAAAGTGATCACTATAAAAATATACTTAATAATAAACTTACTTGGAGGCTCTCATCGCTTCCTTCTTCAACTAGGTTTCCATGACTTTCCTTTAGTCTATAGGAAGTTTGGGCTTACCCTTTACTGTGCTCTAAGCTACCGTGTAGATCTCGATGTTCTAATTGATTCCTCATCAATCATCAACCTTTGTTGTCCCTAGTGTCTCCTAGAGATTCATGCCAAAAATAAAAAAGTCGCTTTGGTTGAGTGTTTAAGGTGTGTTCCTGCTATGTACATAAAGTTTCTCCACGAGACTTCGAATCTCTCGGACGTCGAAAAGTTTATTTCTTTTGTACTAGCCAAATGCCACCGCTAAAAGATATTGTCCTCTTTGGCCCGTTACCTCACGATC